ACGTCGACAGACCGCATGAGGTCGGAATGCGGGAGATGACATCAAAAACCGCGAAAATTGTCGCTATGGGCGGAAGGATAGCGATGGATATAGAAACCAATTAAAAGCAGGGGTTTCTAATGATATAAATAAGAGTTACCACTTAATCTACCACTAAATCCCAGGAGGACCCTTCTCGAAGTCAAGAAGCTGAGTGTTCGGGAATGAGACTGTTAACAGTGCCTTTATGCTTTCCGGTCTTCGATATCTGCGGACCGATGTTATCTGTAGTTTTGCGAGCTGAAAGGCAGAATATGGGAAATGCTGGTTTCCGTTCCGCAGTACCCAGGAGCAAACAAAAATAGGTATCGTCGCCTTGCAAGTAGGATTGCCATATTTTTCAGTTTTGAACTGCCGCCCCTCAATTCGGTATCAACAGACGCAATGCTGTAATTGTGCTCGTTTAACCAGACAACTGGCAGGTTAAACGATACGATCAGGAGTTACTCACAGACAATAATAACTGCGTCATACGGATAACAGAAATCTGAGAAAGCACCTATTTATCCACTACTTTGCAATCTACACAACTGTTTTTAGGTTTGTCTGCATGCTGTAAACTACTAAACTGTATATCGATTAGCCAATTCCACTTGCTCTGTGTGTTCACCGAATTAGTTCATTAGCAGTAGAGGTCATACCGTCTGTCGTTGCAATTTCTATGCAAAATAACGAGTTAGCTTGACAGGCATAGCGTATGACCAAATTCTGTGGGCTGTAAACCGGGGGAGTGAAGACAGAGCATGCCGTCTGAGAGATGAAGTGCCACTACAACCAACTGCTCCTGCAGATTATGATGCTTGCTCAGGCGTAGCTATCTGATCGGATCATGCAGAACATTTCGTCATTATGATGAGCAGGGTTGTGACGGAGGCTACTTATGTTTTTATGTGCATAACTTCATCTGGATTACTCGATGGAAATCAACTTAGTGTTTTGATCGGCCTATGTAAAATATTTCGTCATCATGTTGAGCAGGACTGTGACAGCGAATATTTATATTCATGTATCGCAACGTCCATTTTCAAAACGGTCCACGAAGATTTTGCTTGATAAAATTACGTGGGCACATTTTCAGCACAAGAAGACGCATATGTTACCGAAGAGGCAGCTTGTTTACGATCATGTCACCCACGACTTGCCCAAGAAATAGCCTTCTCCTGATTTAAAAATGGATTATTCCATCCCTATGCCCCAGAATCTATTTCACCTAGACGTGTTTGCACACAATTCATCATGTTCTCTCAGTACACAACATTTCTTTGATTGCTCGTACGTATTCAAACTTTTGCATATCATTCACTTGCGCAAAAGTCATTCCACGCTACTCACTGACATTCGCAATTGCGTCATGCGAATTATAGAAATCCGCAAAAACACCTGTTTACCCACTACTTTTCCGTCTTCATAACTGATTCTAGGTGGGTCTGCATAATGCGATCTACAAAACTGCATATAGAGGCCATCAGCTCAGCTCATTCCACTTTCTGGGTGTGTTCATCAAAACAGTTCATAGGGTAAATTAGCAGAAGAGTTCACGCCGTCAGCCGTTGCCGCTTTTATGCAAAATAACAAGTTAGCTTGACGAGTACCGCGTATGACCCAATTGTGTGCACTTTAAACTAAGAGGGAGAAAACAGCGCATATTGTCTGAAGGGCGGAATGTCTGTACAACCAACTGATTATGCAGATGATGATGACGTTGTTAGCTTGCGTAGGCAAGTGAAAAGCAAGTATATGATACAGGGTTTGATGATCAGATCGCGGCAGCACGCGCAGATGGACAGCAAATATCTGTCTGTGCAGCACCTTGCCTAAATTGCTCGGTTTATGTACACACATTTCATGCTTAAATATCTGCCCACAGTGCTCTTCGACTTCAATGTCATTATGGTCAGAGCTGTGACTGACGACGACTGCGACGTCGTCAGATTGGCTTGTAGTACATGCTAATAAGGCTACGTAGTGTGCACGAGTCCAGAAGTAGGAACTTGCGCGTGTGCGGAACGCCCCGGACATCGACCCCCCGAACGCGTTCGCCAATGCACCCAATGACAACAGCAGCTAATTGTCAGGTTCGGACAGTGGACTAGTGCGCGAGGGTGGAAATAGGGTGAGGCGGACATTGTGCAACATATTGCCATGGCACACCAGCGCATTCGTGACTTTAATTAGTCAAACATTCTGCAGGGACTGGAACGCAGCAGTTTTCTTTGAAGAAAACATCCTCAAAGACGTATTTACTATCTTCCGCTCACTGCTCATGCAATCGGCTAACATCCTCCCATAAATCATCCCGCCAACATAGACCCCTAACGACCAAGCCGACCCCAGGTAGACACGTCGATTTCGCTTACATTCGCTGAACCCACTCTAAGGCTGCTCAATTACGATCATGTCCCACACGACGTACCCGCATTTGCAGACATGACTCTACCAATTAACTACACCTTTGCTGATTTAACCTTTCATTGGTCCACCGTTAGGCCCCGCCTTCATTTAGTCCAGATGTGTTTGTACACCTCTTTTCGCAAGCTCTCAGTGTACTTCATTACCTTGACTGCTCATCAGAATTCAAATTTTCATTTTTCATTTGCTTGCGTAAAAATAATCACACGTCATATGTCCAAGCGTGTAAAATACTCTCATTTTATTCGATTTCAATGTCACTGCAACTAGCACTGAGGCAGTAATGTCTCACATGCAATCTAATGGTAGCAATACAAAGGTTTGATAAATGACAACGCTTCATTAAGAAGATGTTGAGCATCCTCCAGAATGCGCCTTGTCCATGCTAAGCGAAATAACCTCGCCCTTCGAAATGTAGAATTCGCAGAAATTTTCAAGTCACCGTAAACGTTGATGGCAGATAGGAGAATTAGATCAGACTTTTCATCTCCTTCATTCGCATAAGTCACATCAACTGTGACACTCGAAGACACATTCCGCAACGAATACATTTCCGGCACGAATAGCAGCCTTCGAAAGTTGTCGTTGGTGAGTAATGAGCTCTAAAAGTCAGAGTGGGTGCGTTTGTGAGGATATCTAGTATTGAAAAGGCTTCTAAATTAACAGGAGAGTGCTTATTGCTTGGAAAATATTGAACTTACCGGCAGGCTAATAGACATCATCAAGGAAGGAAAATTTACCCTGCATACACACTGCATAGCTTTCTTTTGGGGCAGAACTCTGGATACTGTGCATCCACTAGTAGTTGGCTTGGCGTCAATTTGAAAGCGCACATGGGCGAAAACATGCTGCGTGCATAATCGGCTTATGGAGAGAATACCGATGTCTCCCAGCAGATGTAAAACAACCTGGGGCAAATTGACTGTGGTTCCGTTTCGCGGGCAAAATCCTGGCTCATAGAAAACAAAAAGCAAATATTACATTATTTCCCTCACTTTGTTACAAGTCGCTTACGGGTAATTTGCAATTTCCAACTTTTGCCTGAAATGTACAAAGCAGGCCAGGAAATCAAGTATTTTAGCTTAGACTACCCTCATCTGTCTCACGCAAGAATAACCTTTAGGCGGTTTTTCGGAAACCTAGTGTAAACTGGTGCCATCTGGACATTAAATAGTCTAAGTAATTATATCCTCTATTTGTGCATTAGTAGAGTAATCTGCGACAATTTTAATGTCACTAAAAGTGATTAAGTTCAAATTGAAGGTGTTGACCATTATTGCTTGAAATAATTAGATACCAAATGAGAGGCTCGCGTCGTGTTCACCTACCTCTGCACTGAATTTGGGCCACTAGACAAAGTAATATGCAGATATGCGCACGGATGGACATCTTCATAGCGTCTTCACTTCGAAAGATGCGTTTATGACGCTGTTGTAGCTTAAATAGCTTGCAGAACCAGTCTTCGTTTGATTTACAAATTCCTTCACTGCCATTGGTTTATGATAATAGAAGAAATGCGAAGACGCAGGATCTGTATGCGCATTAAAGATGATATTCAAACGAAGGCGCTAAAATGAGCGTATGAAATCGTCCTAAAATACAGAGACCCCATTGCTCTGAATACTTAGATAACATTTACTCCAGCGTGCTTTTAGTTTTACGAACTATAATTTGGGCCGTATTGGGACTCATGTCCTCTTGAAAATATAAAGGCGTTTTAAAATACTGGGATGATAAAACACTGAAGAATTAAATAACGTTTGCATCCATCATGCGTTTGAATTCTACAAAGGACATTTTGGCTGCCTTCGCATGCATGTTCTCTTCAAAATCTGCCCTCTTCCTTACTCTAGTTAGCCGAACGCAACAAAATTCTAAGAAATCGCATCTAAAAACCTGGCTTAACGTTCCACCACACTAGTGACAGAGGAACCCGGTTGACCTGCACGGCTTATCGTGCCTGGGTTGAGTGAGGAGTGTGTGTGTGTGCCCTATAAACGGGCCACGTGCTAGATGCGCTGGACCAACACGGTGGCCACATCGGACTCTAGCAGGCGTAATCTGTGCGAAATAACAAATGCCAACATTCCCGGGGTGCGCTGGCGGACCCTGTTGTCGGCATTCGTCACACAACTGAACCACTGTCACCAGCCCATTGTTCTGTGGTCAAAATCCTGGTCATTGGTGTGTGGACCAGGGGGTGCGGAGTGGAGCGCCAAGGCGAGGATCCGTCCGAGTCATCCACCTGCGACCTCCCTCGTCATCCGGACTTCTTGCATCTGTCTTGACACCGGGCTCAGGCGGGGGAGGAGGAGAGAGTGTAGGTAGATGCTACGCAAGTCTCCTGGCACTATAAACCCCTGCGCAAGTCACCGTCCCTGCTCCCATCGCTGCTGCAGCTGTGGGGCACACGGTGGACATCGTCGAAATCGACGGTCGAAATGTCGTGTGTGTGTGTGTGTGTGTGTGTTGCGGCCCGCGTACCCTTGGATCTCCTCAGCTTTGCGAGCAGTCCAGGCGTCCTGCATCTCGCTCAGTCGTTGCTGAAGCTGTCAGCGACTGCGGTAGAAGGCAGCTTTGTTGTCCTCAGTGGGATGATCTACGTAGGCTTTGTGTAGGCGGTTCTTCTCGGAAAGCAGATTGCTGATGGCAGCGTCGTTGTCGTCGAACAAGTCCTGGTGTTGGCGGGGAGCGCGACCGAGGACGGCGAGCGCCGTCGACTGGACCGTGTCTCGCAGTTGACACCAGCGGTTCTCCACGGAGGCGTTCTCGGCAGCGACGGCGTCGTCGGCGGCAGCGATTGGAAGGTTGTCCAGCCGTTGAGCTAGCTCATTGCTGAAATGAAGATGGTGAGCAGACAAAGACAACAAAGCAACATTCAACTTACCTGGGGATCGCTTACCTTGTGGTCTCCTGCGAGGCTGTAGGAGAATACGCACCTTCGAGATGACGAGGCGATGGTCGGTCCACCCGTCAGCACCCGCGATCGCCTTTGTCACCAGCACGTCCCGCTGATCTGGGCTTCGAAAAAGGACATAGTCCAGCAGATGCCACTGGCGCGACCGAGGATGCCTTCTTCAGGTGGCCTTCTCTCGCTCCGGCAGACAGAAGAACGTGTTCGTCAGGATGAGGCGGTGTTCTGCGCAGGTGCGCAGGAGAAGCAGGCCGTTGTCGTTGGAACCGCGGAGACCGTGAGGATCCAGCACTCCCCTCCAGGCAGTATGGTCTGTGCCGACGCGGGCGTTGAAGTCACCAAGGACAATCAACTTGTCCGCCTTCGACACAGTCGCCAAGAGGGCGTTCAGGTCCTCGTAGAAATTGTCTCTGACGGCGTCGGAACAGGTCATCGGCGGAGCGTAGGCGCTGATGATGGTGGCGAACTTGCCTCCTCGCCGGAGAGGCAGGCGGAGGCTCATCAGGCGGTCGTTTATTCCCTGCGGCGAACAGGGCAGTTGTCCCACGATGTCGATCCGGATAGCGAAGGTGACGCCCGCGTCTCGTCGCTCTGCCCTGGGTCGACCACTCCAGAAGAAGGTGTAACCGGCACCCACCTCCTCCAGTTGGCCTTGTTCGGAGAATCGGGTCTCGCTGAGTGCGGCGATGTCCACCTTGTAGCGCGCCAGTTCTGGTGCCACTAGCGCCGTCCTCCGTTCCGGTCGGTTGCTCCTCGGATTGTCTAAAAGGGAACGAACATTCCAGGCTGCCAGAGTGAGCGGGCTCACCCTGTCAGTCTGGGGAAAACAAGTGGGGTGACGGGAAGGAGGTGGAGAAGAAGATGACGAAGGAGAAGAATAGGCAGAAGAATAGACGGAGATAGAGGCAGAAGAGGTAGGATGAGGAGAAGGAGTATGGTTGTTGTTGTTATTATTGGTATTGTTGTTGCTTCGGTTTTGAGTGTTTCGACCATGTTTAGACGTCTGCGGCCCTGACTAGCCTAGAGACGGCGTGGTGCCCAGCAATGTTTAGGCCACCTTTTCTGGGCCCTCCCCCGTAATGGGGACAGGCAGTGCCCCCCGAATCGGGCTGCCTGTAAGCCTGTTTGGCGCGACCGAATCCCACTATGGGACCACAACTTTATGTTTGTAGTGGAGAACGACCGCATATGCCGAGGTCTGCGGTCTCCGTCGGCGTAGGTGGGCGCGTCTCAGCGAAGGCGATGCGGGGACCCATCCCGGCAGCAGCTGTCCAACGGCGTACCAGGCAGAGCCTCGTCTCGACGACGCCGGCGCAACGTTTCATCCGACCAAACGTCCAGCGGAGCCCGCAGTACACTGTGCACGCGGCACAAGCGCACAGCGCCCTCACCTGGTTTAGCCCGCCGGTCGAGGCGGTTGCCCGGGGTGTGACCGCTGAGCAGAGCCCAGCTACGTGGAGCCACAGGTGAGAGTTAGGTGCCAGCAAATGGACGCTAGGCGTAGTCTCACCTGCAAGCAAGTGAGCGACCACTACGACCATCACGTGGACCCACCGCTGACACCCCTACACGCCCACACTCGGTCCACGCAGTTCGTCACGTTGTGTGTGTGTGTTGTGTGGAGTGGCGGACTGGTGGGCTGGGCACGGGCTGCAACAGCACCTTCCACGGCACTCTCACGCAAGTGAGAGACACGCCGTTCATCCCCCTTTGTGTGAAATCCTGGTGTTCGTGTGTATGGGGGGCCGGGTCGTGCTGTGGCGCGCGCAGGCATGGTCAGTCGACCATGTCAACCACCGCGCCCATTCCCCACTCCAGTCTACTGACCGGCTCGGACAGTGGCTGGGGTGTGGGAATGGGAAGGGAGAGTGAGGTCGACGACTCAGCGCATTTTCCTCACTATAATCAATCTGACGCGCTTGAAGCTATCACGGTGCGCTAAAAGCCGTGGCTTGGAAGGTTGCCAACTGACGGGGTACCTTGGACCTCCTCCTTCACTGGAGGCGGTCTGAGAGTCAGGCTGCAATGGCTCCTTTTTAATGTGGCCTTTATGGCATTCCCACCACAGTGTGGGATCCGAGCCAGGCGTTGGCGGCACGCCCAGGTGCGGCTTCGGCCGTGTCAGCCTCCAAATCCTTGTGGTGTTGGTTGAAATCCTGGTTATTGTCGTGTGGACCAGGGGGTGTGGTGGAACGCCAAGGTGAGGATCCGTCCGAGCCATCCACCTGCGGCCTCTCTCGTCTCCGGTCTTCTTGACTCTGTCTAGACGCCGGGCCCAGGCGGGGGAGGAGGAGAGAGTGTAGGTAGATGCAGCGCAAGTCTACCCGCACTATAAACCCCTGCGCAAGTCACCGTCCCTGCTCCCACCGCTGATGCAGCTGTGGGGCACACGGTGGACATCGTCGAAATCGACGGTCGAACTGTCGTGTGTGTGTGTGTGTGTGTGTGTGTGTGTGTGTGTGTGTGTGTGTGTGTGTGTGTGTGTGTGTGTGTGTGGGGGGGGGTGTAGGGGTGTCAGCAGTGGGTCCACGTGATGGTCATAGTGGTCGCTCACTTGCTTGCAGGTGAGACTACGCCTAGCGTCTATTTGCTGGCACCTAACTCTCACCTGTGGCTCCACGTAGCTGGGCTCTGCTCAGCGGCCACACCCCGGGCAACCGTCTCGACCGGCGGGCTAAACCAGGTGAGGGTATCCGTGCGTGCACCTGCACGTGCGGTACTGTGGTCTGCGCTGGCCGGATGGATCTTTGCGTCGACATCGCCGAGACGAGGCTCTGCCTGGACCATCGCAGGAGGCCACCAGGTAAGTTCTTCTTCAGATAAGTGCATTTGCTTTTGCTTCTTCCATTTGTTTGTTGAAGTTCCGTGTCGTACGCTGCTTTTGCTGCCTGCCCTTTATATGCTAGTCTGTCTGTTAATAGCTAGACAAAACCCTCGAGGAATGCTGCGATTGTCTGTCCGTCAGTCTATGCCACTATCTGCTGATAGCTAGGTGTTACGGTGCTTGACTTTTTGTGGTGCCCTCACTTTTGTCTCTGACTGATGACTGTGTCCGCTTGTCCACTCTAGTTCTGAAGCCCATAGCGTTAGGTATTGTGTGTGCTCTCTCCTACTTCACTCCATCACATCACCATCAGCACCAAGGTCCCAGGCTAATTCTGGTCGTTCTCTCACTAACAAAAAGTCGTGGCCCATAGTGGAGTCCGGCAGCCGTCTGGGATAACCGGGCAGCCCTGTTCAGGGATGCGCTGCCTGCCCCCGCGAGGGGGAGGGGGCTAGAAAAGGTGCCCTTAAGATCGCTGGGAACCACGCTGTCTGTAGGTTGGCCGTGGCTGCAGACAAAAAACACACGGTCGAAACAGCCAAAACCGAAACAACAACAACAATCACTCTATTCCTCTTCCAGCCTATTCTTCTCCTTCTTCTTCTCCTACTCCTACTGTTCGCCGCCGCAGTCGCCGGACTGGCAGGGAGAGCCCGCTCACTCTGGCAGCCGGAAATGTTCGTTCCCTTTTAGACAATCCGAGGAGCAACCGACCGGAACGGAGGACTGCGCTAGTGGCACGAGAACTGGCGCGCTACAAGGTGGACATCGCCGCATTCAGCGAGGCCCGATTCTCCGAACAAGGCCAACTGGAGGAGGTGGGTGCCGGTTACACCTTCTTCTGGAGTGGTCGACCCAGGGCAGAGCGACGAGACGCGGGCGTCACCTTCGCTATCCGGATCGACATCGTGGGACAACTGCCCTGTTCGCCGCAGGGAATCAACGACCGCCTGATGAGCCTCCGCCTGCCTCTCCGGCGAGGAGGCAATTTTGCCACCATCATCAGCGCCTACGCTCCTCCGATGACCAGCCCCGACGCCGCAAGAGACAAATTCTATGAGGACCTGCACGCCCTCTTGGCGACTGTGCCGAAGGCGGACAAGTTGATTGTCCTTGGTGACTTCAACGCCCGCGTCGGCACAGACCATACTGCCTGGAGGGGAGTGCTGGGTCCTCACGGTCTCCGCGGTTCCAACGACAACGGCCTGCTTCTCCTGCGCACCTGCGCAGAACACCGCCTCATCCTGACGAACACGTTCTTCTCTCTGCCGGAGCAAGAGAAGGCCACCTGGAGGCATCCTCGGTCGCGTCAGTGGCACCTACTGGACTATGTCCTCGTTCGGAGGCGAGATCAGCGGGATGTGCTGGTGACGAAGGCGATCGCGGGTGCTGACGGGTGGACCGACCATCGCCTCGTCATCTCGAAGGTGCGTATTCGCCTACAGCCTCGCAGGAGACCACAAGGTAAGCGATCCCCAGGTAAGTTGAATGTTGCTTTGTTGTCTTTGTCTGCTCACCATCTTCATTTCAGCAATGAGCTAGCTCAACGGCTGAACAACCTTCCAAACGCTGCCGCCGACGACGCCGTCGCTGCCGAGAACGCCTCCGTGGAGAACCGCTGGTGTCAACTGCGAGACACGGTCCAGTCGACGGCGCTCGCCGTCCTCGATCGCGCTCCCCGCTAACACCAGGACTGGTTCGACGACAACGACGCCGCCATCAGCAATATGCTGGCTGAGAAGAACCGCCTACACAAGACCTACGTAGATCACCCCACTGAGGACATTAAAGCTGCCTTCTATCGCAGTCGCCGCCAGCTTCAATAACGACTGCGCGTGATGCAGGACGCCTGGACTGCTCGCAAAGCTGAAGAGATCCAAGGCTGCGCGGACCGGAAAGAATGGAAGAACTTCTTCTCTGCGATCAAAGCTGTCTACTGTCCGCCGACGAAGGGCACTGCTCCTCTCCTCAGCGCCGACGGCAGTACTCTCCTGACTGGGAAGACGCAAATCCTGCAGCGATGGGCCGAGCATTTTCGAGGCGTCCTCAACCGCCCCCCCCCCCCCTCCGTCATCTCCGACGCCGCCATCGAGCGTTTGCCGCAAGTGGAGACCAACGCGGACCTTGACCGTCCGCCATCTCTTTAGGAGACCATCAGGGCCGTGCAGCAGCTCCTCAGCGGGAAAGCACCCGGATCGGACGCGATCCCTGCTGAGGTCTACAAGCACGGACGTCCCCAACTGATGGATCACCTGACTGCGCTCTTCCAGGAGATGTGGCGTCAAGGCGAAGTCTCGCAAGATTTCAAAGACGCAACAATCGTGCACTTATACAAGCGAAAAGGGAATCGTCAAATCTGCGACAATCACCGTGGCATCTCCTTGCTGAACATCGCCGGGAAGATCTTTGCTCGCGTCCTTCTCAACCGCCTTAATAACCACCTTGAACAGGGCCTTTTGCCGGAAAGCCAATGCGGCTTCCGTCGTCATCGTGGGACCACGGACATGATCTTCGCCGCCCGTCAACTTCAGGAGAAGTGTCAGGAGATGCGGACACACCTGTACTCTACCTTCGTGGACCCGACGAAAGCCTTCGACAAGGTGAATCGTGAAGGACTGTGGAAGATCATGCAGAAATTCGGTTGTCCGGAGCGATTCACTCAGATGGTGCGTCAGCTGCACGACGATATGATGGCGCGAGTCACGGACAACGGAGCTGTCTCAGAGGCATTCGCAGTGACCAACGGAGTGAAGCAGGGATGCGTGCTGGCGCCAACCCTCTTCAGTCTCATGTTTTCTGCCATGCTGATGGACGTCTACCGCGACGAACGCCCCGGGATCCGTATCGCCTACAATACGGACGGTCACCTGCTGAATCAACGGCGGATGCACTTCCAATCGCGCGTATCCACAACCACCGTCCACGAACTTCTGTTCGCCGACGACTGCGCCCTGAACACCACCTCGGAAGAGGAAATGCAACGCAGCATGGACCTTTTCTCCGCCGCCTGCGAGAACTTTGGGCTGGTTATCAACACGCAGAGGACGGTGGTGATGCATCAACCGCCGCCCAACTCAGCCACAGACCCAACGCGTCGCAAATCAACGTGAATGGGACTCAACTGCAAGTGGTAGAGAACTTCCCGTACATGGGAAGTACCCTATCTCGCAACACAAAGATCGATGACGAAGTCGCCAACAGGATTTCGAAAGCCAGTCAAGCCTTCGGACGCCTCCAAAGCACAGTTTGGAATCGCCACGGTCTCCAACTGAGCACAAAGCTGAAGATGTACAAGGCCGTCATCCTGCCGACGTTACTGTACGGAGCAGAAACATTGACGGTGTACACGAGACAGGAATGCCGACTGAAACACTTCAACCTCAGTTGTCTCCGTCGCATCCTGAGGCTGAACTGGCAGGATCGAATCCCCGACACGAAAGTACTGGAACGATCGGGAATCCTCAGCATCTAAGCCATACTGAGACAAATGCAGCTGCACTGGAGCGGCCACCTGGTGCGCATGGACGACGAGCGACTACCCAAACGACTCTTCTACGGAGACGTCGCGACGGGTTCTCGTTGTCAAGGGGGCCAAATTTGTCGCAACAAGGATACTTTGAAGTCCTCCCTGAAGCGCCTGCAAATCAACCCGACCAACTGGGAAGATCTCGCGCGCGATCGTCCGACATGGAGGAGAACAGTGAAGACGGGCGCTGCTATCTATGAAGCCAACCGAATCGCCGCCGCCAAAGCGAAACGCGAAGCCCGCAAATCACAACTTCGCCCAGTCCGCAACGCCGCCGCACAACCTCTCCCTACGTGTCCTCGATGTCAACGGACATTCCGGGCACGAATCGGACTTGTTGGAAATCTTCGAATCAACTGCACCTCTTGAACTGCTCCAGCCATCGTCCCCCCGCCCGCCTCTTCCTCGTCCTCTCTGCCGCCAACTAACTCTGATAACTCTTCTGTGCCACCACTTCCATCCTCCTCCTCCTCCTCCTCCTCCTCCTCCTCCTCCTCCTCCTCCTTCTCCTCCTCGTCTACTGCATTATCGACAACCGCTCAGGCGACTGTTGCGCAAGACATAACCGCACGCATCCCTGACACAACACCAGGCATTATCTCTTCAGCATCCGGCTCCAGGCGTGAGGAGCAGGAATACACCTGCCCTCACTGCGGCCGCACCTTCACCTCACGCGTCGGCCTGGTCGGTCACTTGCGAATCCATCGCACAGAGACCGGTGAATCAGTGCCTGGAGCACCAACCGCACTCGCCTCCACTGCCCACACTGCCCTCGCACTTTCACTCATCGCATGGGTCTATTCGGCTACATGCGCATCCATGAGAGCGGCACTGACCGCAGCCTTGACACAGCCACAACGCTAGACCCCACTCCCAGTTCATCACCTCGTGCACCCACCAGCCTCTTCGCAACCGCCGTTGATGCCACCGACTTTTCCACCCTTCACTCCTCCCCTTCCTACTCCTCTTCCTCCTTCACTGCCACAACGACAGCCGCCTCGGCGTCTGTCGTTCACGACTTCACCACAGCCGAACCTGACACAACAACAGGCACAACCCCTGCAACCTCCATCATCAGACGTGAGGGCCAGGACTACATCTGCCCTCACTGCGATCGCACCTTCACCTCACGCATCGGCCTGGTCGGTCACTTGCGAATCCATCGCACAGAGACTGGAGAACCAGTACCTGCAGCACCAACCTACATCCACCAAGCTCGACTCAACTGCCCACACTGTCCTCGCACTTTCAGGCGTCGTGTGGTCCTATTTGGCCACATGCGCATCCACGACGACCTGCGGTAGACAACCGCTGGTTACACCACACACTCACACACACCCTACCCTCCTCCACCATAAACAACACACATCAACACTCACCCGCCGCATTCACCAACTGCCACCTTCCACGCAAGTGGGAAGTGCGCTCTCGACTCGGTCCCCATGCGGCGTCGGCCGCACGGGTGACTTGAGTCTGAGACTATCCTGACACGTCAAGCGTCGTGGATAGGAAGGCTGTTGATTGACGCCACACTCGGTCCACGCAGTTCGTCTCATTGTGTTTGTGTGTTGTGTGTAGTGGCGGACAGGTGGGCTGGGGACGGGCCGAAGCAGCACCTTCCACGGCACTCTCACGCAAGTGAGAGACACGCCGTTCATCCCCCTTTGTGTGAAATCCTGGTGTTTGTGTGTATGGGGGGCCAGGTCGTGCTGTGGCGCGCGCAGGCATGGTCAGTCGACGATGTCAACCACCGCGCCCATTCCCAACGCCAGTTTGCCGACCGGTTCGGACGGCGGCTGGAGTGTGGGAATGGGATGGGATAGTGAGGTCGACGACTCAGCGCACTTTTTCCTCACTATAATCAATCTGACGCGCTTGAAGCTATCACGGTGCGCTAAAAGCCGTGGCTTGGAAGGTTGCCAACTGACGGGGTAACTTGGACCTCCTCCTTCACTGGAGGCGGTCTAAGAGTCAGGCTGCAATGGCTCCTTTTTACTGTGGCCTTTATGGCATTCCCACCATAGTGTGGGATCCGAACCAGGCGTTGGCGGCACGCCTAGGTGCGGCTTCGGCCGTGCCAGCCTCCAAATCTCTGTTGTGTTGGTTGAAATCCTGGTTATTGTTGTGTGGACCAGGGGGTGTGGTGGAACGCCAAGGTGAGGATCCGTCCGAGCCATCCACCTACGGCCTCCCTCGTCTCCGGTCTTCTTGACTCTGTCTTGACACCGGGCCCAGGCGGGGGAGGAGGAGAGAGTGTAGGTAGATGCAGCGCAAGTCTTCCCTGCACTATAAACCCCTGCGTAAGTGACCGTCCCTGCTCCCACAATGCAGTCTGTGGGGAACACGGTGGACATCGTCGAAATCGACGGTCGAACTGTCGTATGTGTGTGTGTGTGCCCTCAGAACGGACCACGTGTTAGATGCGCTGGACCAACACGGGGGCCACATCGTACTCTGGCAGGCGTTATATGTGCGCAATAACAAATGCCAACATTCCCAGGGTGCGCTGGCGGACCCTGTTGTCGGCATTCGTCGCACAACTGGACCACTGCCACCACCCCATTGTTTTGTGGTAAAAATCCTGGTCATTGGTGTGTGGACAAGGGGGTGCGGAGTGGAGCGCCAAGCCGAGGATCCGTCCGAGCCATCCACCTGCGGCCTTCCCCGTCTCCGGTCTTCTTGACTCTGTTTTGACACCGGGCTCAGGCGGGGGATGAGGAGAGAGTGTAGGTAGATGATACGCAAGTCTACTGGCACTATAAACCCCTGCGTAAGTGACCGTCCCTGCTCCCACAATGCAGTCTGTGGGGCACACGGTGGACATCGTCGAAATCGACGGTCGAACTGTCGTGTGTGTTTGTGTGTGTGGTGTTTGTAATGGTTGGGAGAGAGGAGAGAGGGGAGGAATGCGCTTTATTTTGAAATCGTAAGTTCAAAATTTTCAGCAAAAAATTGGCTCCATTCACTGTGGGCAGTAAATAATTTAAGAGATTATTCAACAGTCAAAGAAACGATTATTATGGGGATAGTTCAAGTCTGAGCTTCTGTATTTCTGTCTCTTCGCACGTAAGATAGCGCGCTAGGAATGGCAATACAGAGGCTCGATAAGCCGATGTGCGACAGGGTATAAGACGGAAGTTGCGGCGCATCGGGCGGGAAGACTTGGCAGACATAAGATCGGAATGTAGGGGATGGGCAACGTCATCTAGAATTAGACCAGCAAATTGCTTGACCGCATTGAAGTGTCGTTGTAAGATTGTGTCAACTAAAAAAATATAAGAAACGCCAGCAGCAGAAGAGAGCATGCGGAGGGTTCGTTTCAAAATTAAAAGATCCTTTTTTAACAAAGCAGGAAAAACGACAGGAGAATAGTATAGGATAAGTGGAAGAATGCAGGCATCAATGAATCGCTAGACTAAGGGTTGGGGTGTGTGGTAGGAACGCAAACGACGAATGTAGTAAAGAAGTTTACGAACTTTAATAAATAGGGACTCAATATGGAGGGAAAAAGAAAGATTTGAGGACAAAGTAACGCCGAGATACCTGAAAGAGGATACCTCATTAGGAAGAATGTCAGAGGAATCAGGGTTAGGAGAGGTCCGCAGTCGAAAAATACACTGGAAGGATTTTTGGTTGTTAATTAGGAGACCATTTTCCTCCGACCACGCTAGGACATGGTTTAGGCCATCCTTTAGAGACCGGAGGTGTGTCTGACTTTTGAGAGGGTGTCCAACAACCACATCGTCAGCATACTTGACCAGAAGACAGTCATTAGGGGACCTGAGATCATCAGTGTGGAGGGAAAAAAGGTGAGGGGATAGAATGGAACCTTGAAGAACACCGCAGTCATTGGGGAGGGTCGAAGATTTCCGCTTGCCAGATTGGACAAATTGGGTGCGGAAGGTAAAATAATCGCTCAGCCAAGAGACGACCCAGCCTGGAGAGCCACATGCGGAGGTTTTGGAAAGGAGAAGAGGGCGCGGGACGGTATTGAAAGCGGAGGAGTAATCAAGAAAAGCGCACGCATACTCACGGCAACCCTTGTCTAATGCTTTTAGAGCAGAGTGGACCACAAGAGCGACAGCATCTAAAGTACTCCGTTTAGCTTTGTATGCAAATTGTAAGGGGTCGGGAAAACTGGAAGAAAAAGGCTTTATGATATCTAGGGCAACTCTTTCAGCAAGCTTTAGAATTGCAGAGGAGCAGGCAATTGGGCGAAAAGATTTAGGACCAAAGTTAGCAGGATTTTTAGGGATGGGAGTGATTCTCACTGTACGCCAGGCGTCGGGAATCTTGGACTCCATGAAAGACATGTTGATTAAGGGCGTTAAAATAGGGGCTATCTGAGAACTGCAAGATTTAAGAAGAAAAGGCGAGACACCATCCGGTCCGGCAGCTGTTGATCCACGGACCTTTTTAAGGTGTTTCTCTACTGTTGCCAAAGACACGGGTTGGAATGTACTCGGTGATAGGGGAATTTCTTCTAAGGGAAGATGGGAGTCATTGTGACTAAATATAAAATTTATATTTAGGGAGTCTAAATCTGCATCCACATGCACCAGCGTGTTGCGATGGCCAGTGAGACGCTTAAGATTTTTCCAAATCTCAGCTGAGGAAGGGGGGAAAGGGGGGGAGTAAGAAGAGGAAAAAAGTTGGCTGACAAATAGGCTATTTAGCCTGTCAATCTCTGTTTTTATTAAAACGGTAACGTCCTTAAGGTTATCACGTAAGCCTAGCTTGTAAAGGAGTTCTTTTTTTACGTCTTAACGATTTCAGATAGGGGGAAGAAATTCTATCCGGTCGTACCATAACAGTATCAAAAGGGCGGCAAATAGCGAAAATTTCATTTAAAAACGCTGTCAGGTTGGAAGAACAGGATTCAACATTAGAATGTTCAAGGAAAGTGGGAATAGTACGAGAAATACAAGTCTGAAGCAGAAAAATGTTTTGGGCGGACGTGTTGCGAACAATAACCTTTCTCTCAGGCTTGACAAGCAGTGCACATTTTGAAGCGGAATAGATTTTTGGAAGGCGCAATAAAGTGGAATGGTCAGAACCTGACAATGGAGCCCTGTTTTTTACGCAAAAAGCTTGCTGTGGTTAGTCAAAATATGATCAAGAGGGGCATCTGCGCGAGTATTAAAGGAGACAAGATCATCGAAGCCTAAAAGTGTAAGGGGACGTAAATTCACGCGATTAAAATCACCGCATAAGAGAGCAAGATAGTCGCAGGATAATATAGCAAGCTTTTGTGAGAGGAAGTCGAAAAAACGGGTTAATGAGCCTTCACAGGAAGAGGGGGGAATGTAAATACCAACAAATATGATGCCTTTAAAATTACTTAACAAACGGGGCTTACATAAAACAGCGATTACATCTATTTAATCATCAGAGTAAGAAAAAAGGGACTTACAGTCTCTACACCAATTTTGATTAACGAAAAGGGCAACGCCTCCACCTCTGCCACAAGATAAAGATTTTCTATCTGTACGAAAGCAGTAGAAGGGTGGGGGAGTAATAAGTTGCGAATCAATGTCACTATTAAGCCACGTCTCTTGAAGGCAAACAACTTCAGTTTTGCTGTGTTCTTTTTTCGACAAAAGTAGCTCCAAATCATGGGTTTTGTTGAAAATAGAACGAAAGTTTGTCGACAAGAAGGCAGAAATTGACAATTTGTGATTTGGCTGACGAATGCAAATTGCCAGCCACAATGGTGATGGGGTTTTGACTGCCATGGTTTGCAGAAAAATCGTATGTACACACATGAACCTGAGAAGGTTGCATTTGGTGACTAAATGTGTGTGGAAATTGTGGCCTGTTATGGTAGATTGGGCAGTTATATGCTGTTGCTCATGGTACTGGCTGGGCAGTCTCAGTACGACGGATTTTCGAGTAACCGACCAACACGATGGGTCATGTGAATGTAGGACCGCAATAAGCACAGGTGGGAATCGAGTTAACATGATTAGTTATGCGAATTGTGATGATTCCTGGCACCGATCACAGTGCATAAGGAGTGTTCTTATGGGTAATTGTGGTTGCTGTCCTGGGCATAGGGAGGTTGCTGAGAGGAACACTTCAACGGCTGTTTTTGATGAACTATGTGGAGCGCTGTGATTATTGGTTCATTGGATCCAACGATGTCCGACCAGGAAGATCGGCGCGCAGGATGCCCGTTCACGGTGTGGACACGTTGGAGGAGGATGCATTGGGGTTTTCTGTCCAAAGTACTTGACGTTTGTGATCCAAGCTTCTGGATTTATGGAGTCGCTTTCGTCACTTTTTAATTTTCCCAAAAATAATC